GGAAAATAATGAGAGCTTGTGAAGAGGTGAGAAGTTTCATGAAACATATTTGAACAAAGGCACTAGGCTGAAACATGTTTCATTTTGATAAAGGGAAACTGCATGAATTATATGAACATAAACTATGAAGATGTTTGTACTTAGAATAATTTTTGAGGGGAAAAAAAGAGAGATTTTGTGAAACATTTGATGCCTTATAGCAATTGTGGTAATACTAAAAAATATGTACAGCATATCTCCATATTTTAGAGAACATAGGCTAAATCCTTAACTCACCACAGTATATGCTCAGTGTGAAGAAAAGTACTTCAAAGGCAAGATAAAATTGAGTGAAATACACCTACCTTGTAAACATCCTAGGCATTCTGTAGAGTAGCAGAGCAGAGGCTCTATTTGCTTGCAAAGGGGGCTGAAAGAACAGAATAACAAGAGTATTAAGCTGCCAGCATTGCTTCTTGAGCAAGGGGGGTCATCTGAGCTCAGTAGCCATGTAAGAGTAAGGCAGTTTGGAGTCTAAAGCAGATGCCTGCGCACCCCTGCTGCAGCAGACCTATGCATCAACACCTCCCATGGGGACAATCTGTTCTCAAAAAGCTTTGAATTTATGCCTAACTTTACTTGCCCAGAAGTTAGATGCATTGAACTATCCACTTGTTTTCTTTCTGACTACTCATTCAGAAAACAAGTGTCAAGATGAGTGTGTCACATTGGGGTGCCTTGCACTGCTGCCCTGGGCAGCCAGAGCAGCTCTGCACTTGAATGAGGTTTGTTGAACAGGGTGGAGAACAGGCTGTGGAGCTGCATTATTAATTGCTTGGACATCAGTTCCCAAGTCAAACTCTGGATTTTGAATGATAGATAAAGCCTATTGCTGGATCTAACTCAGAACCTGTGAAAACTAGACCACCATCCATTTTTCACCTTGAGTCACGTGTTACAATAAAAATCAGATTTTTTTTTTCCAAATCTGTGGTTTTTTAACCAAGTCAACACAACACTGTGTTGTAACATGAATGAATGGGAGTCACATGGAAGCTACCAACTTCAGGCACCTATTTAGGTTTTGCCATATCTAGAAGGCGGGTTCTCAGCCTCAGCAGAATTATTTAAATCACCATGTGAAGAGCTCTAACTACATCCTATTCAATCAGAGTAAGATCCAAGTGCTTCTGAAGGCTTCCAAAAAGCAAGTAAAAAGGTTTGTGTTGGAATCACCATACCGGTCACTATGTGAGAAGTACTTCCATAGAACTATCCATGGTGTCAGCACACACACTTACCAATGCTGGATTGCTGTTGCTAGCATATGGCTGTTCCCAGAAAACAAAGAGTACAAAATCTTTTTGATTCTGTTAAACAGGTAGATAATTACTTGAATGTTACTGTGAGTGAAAGCAAGGAGCTATGAGAGTGATCAGAGCAGTGTCAAAGTTTTACCAATGCCAAAGCATTTTATTAAACACCAGAAAACACTTCTAAGAAAGGACACATGATGTTTACAAAGGTAATAATCCAAGCCTTGTGCATAACTTGTGCACAGAGCTATATGAAATGCAGCTACAAACTTCTAAATTTTCTGTTGGTGACATATAATATTTCAGAACAGTGTAATTTTTTTGCCTGTTCATTTGGGGTGATCATTAATGACTAGAGTTTGCACAAAGAATGAATAAACACTGTGACAAACAGGGAAATATCAAGACAATTTTACTACCTTGTGCATACCTCTTCTATGTCTTGATAATTGCTACTTTGCTGCATGATTAAATCAAAGACTGATCTTCAGGAAGAAAGAGGAAGAAATTAAAAAGCAGCAAAGATCAGACTGTAGCTCAAGGTAAATAATGTCAAAGATTGTAAGACAATGGTGGATGCCTCATCAGTTGTGAAATAAACACTTTGTTTAGGATCAAAACACATACTGAATTGTAAATATGCTGGTATTAGAAAGTTGGAATTGTTTCTGGATTGTCAAATGGACTGACAGGCCTTCTTACAGAGACTTGCAGGGGTTTGTCTAACTGTGTGTTGAGACGCTTTGACCATCATTGAGACGATATTCATAAGCTGCCTAAACAACAGACCTGAAAGCCCTGCTTAGCTAGTGGTAGAGGTTCCTCGAGAAAAAGAGGGACCAAGGCTAACCTTCGGAAGGCCTGGAAGAGCAGCCATGCTCATGCAGAGCAGCTGCTGCCCAAAGTTCCTTGTGGAACCCACATGGACCATGCACAGCCACCCCAATGGAGAGCAGGAGACACAGACAAGGGGCATGGGGAAGGATGAAGAAGTAGACGTGTGCAGGGCTAGACGTGAGATGGCACTGGGGCACCTACCTGCCCTGTTAGTGCTTGGGGAGGGCTTTTTCTGGGAACAGACAACAGCTTGGAGGATGTAGCTTAGCCCCATCTGGGAACTGGCAGGGATTTGAACAGCTGGAGCTGCTAAAGCAGACAAACTGACCCCAACTCAACCCTGACCTCAAGGATGAACTCAAGAGGGACAGAAGGGATACAAGTACATCTCACCTCGTAACTATGTGGTACACAACATGAGCTTCCACTGGAAAAATTCATCAGAATGTGAACTTTGATTTCAGTGGTGTTTTAAGCTGGATTTTTTTCTCCAAATTGCTACTATGCATTTCCCAAACTTTTTCCCAGGTCTACTCAGTGTTCTAAAGAAACATGACTGTTTCCCATACAAATCAAACAAGGTTTATAGGTTTTTACAAGCTTTATTGACATGTGGTATTGAGTGTCTGCCATAATTAGGGAAATTCATATCAGTGGACTATTAAAAAGAAAAAAGGTGATTTATTAGGAGCAGCATCTCTTCTTAAAGCTGGCTTAAATTTATAAGAATTTTCCAGCATCTGTCTAAAAATTTTGCTGACTTTTGTATTCCCAAGGGAGCAATAATTGCACCACACTGTTCTCAAAACAGTTCTGCAAAGATATACCATGTTAAGGAAGCCCTTTTATTAATGACACTGTACTTGGCAGTGAGACAACCATTCAGAAACATGTTTATTTTAAACTTTCAAGTTGGAATCTCCTGTTTCACTGGGTTTACTTGGTTATAGCTCTTATGTTCTTAGCAGAATTTTTCCTAACTTATACTGGCATAACAGAATAGATTCAAACCTTAGAGAGGCACTGGAAACACCAGTAGCATAAAAAGCTCTGTTTTTAATATGGTACTTATAAATGAGGTGGGAGATTTCCACACTGGAAGAGGTAACTGGAGAGGCTGATCAGATGTGACACCTGGAAAGTTAGTGTTGTGGAATACTTAACACGTTCTGAGGGGGGAGTTTAGGTAGTGTATATACCTATCAAACTAATTGCATAGTTTATTTTAGCTAGTCACATTTCTGGGCAGGGATGCATGTGTTATTGAGGCAGGATAGGTGGAGAGATGTATATTTTATCAATAAGATAAGCCAGTAGGAAAGCTCATGAAAAAGTGCACAGAAAAAGCACTCCTGACATCATTGTAGGCATGACTTATAGTAATAGCATGGAAGGAGAGATTTCAAAGTTTTGTATGAAGATATTCTACTTTTACTATTACACTTTTACAATTTAAAAATTAATTTTTTGTGGTCACATTTGATTTTTTCATGTTGACTTAAACATATTATCTACGTGGCTATAAGCCATCCTTCTTTATTAAACTGATCTGCCAAAGATAGAATCACCTGTTCTTCAAAGTTACAGATGTTCCTTATGAAAGTACCAGTTCCCAAGATTAATGAACTACTCAGAGTCATTTAAAAAAAAAATTAGTATGCCTGAACATTAAATCTGTGAAGAAAACAATGCAGCAATACCAGTTCCTGAAAATGCTGTACAATGCTGTTCATGCCAAGATAGCATTCCTATTAGATTTAGAAAGTACCATGAAATTTTCAGGCACTTCTGCCTGACAAATAATATTTTTCATCTTTAATTTGCAGTTTCCCTGAAAAAGGAACTTGAAAAAATGTCCTCTAATCATTTGTGTCTGACTGTGCTTTAAGTCTGCTAATAGAAGCCCCTGAAATGGTTTACTTGAAGTGTTTCTGAATGACTAAATGTATGTTTTAAATAACAGCATGAATGTAGGCAAGGACATAGAACTGGGAAGAAATCTCCTCTCTTACTGAGGGTTACTGAATCCCATCTTCTTTTTCTGTGTTTCATGTCATTCTTTCATTTTACACTCTCTTCCTCATGAAGCAGAGACATTTATACGATGAAATACACTGGCCTTAAGTGAAATTCTTCACCTGGGCACTTGGACTTTATGCAGTTGAAGAAAGATTATTTGGGACAAAAAAATACCTACCCTCAAGAATTTTCCTGTACTTCATGTACCTTCAAAACATATATGATGTATGGGCATCTGTGACCCTGCCCTTCTTGCTCCATTTGCATTCCAGCACATTTTAAGTTTGTAAGCCTCTTGGTCATGCATCAGTACCTGTTTTATTTGCGTATTCAGGTACAATTGGCAGGTAAAAAGGTGCTTTGTTTATTTTCACCTGTAATAAAATGTCGGATCATTCCACCACCTCCTTATTAAACGAAATGGATCTTCTCCTTTGTCCTCAATGTCAAGTTGATCCACAGTGGTAACACAGCAACGATAAAACTTCAGGGTCTTCTGATTCTGCCATTACATCTGTTAGCTCACCATCTTTTTCTTGTACGACAGAGAATGTGATGAAAAACCATGGGACATCAGGAATAGACATCCTGGTACTCAAATATTATTTATTTAAAAAATAACAGGGAATTCTTCCTTCTAACTTTTACACTATTTACACTGGGACTACCCAGGCGTTTATGACACAAGCAGACACACACAGGTGCATTATACAGTTTGCAAACTGATGAAGCTCTGTCATACTTGATTTGTAGTCTTTATTTTTCCAGAACCACCGTGCAAGCTGTTCGAAAACACTAAGGAAGAGATTTTTAAATGCATCTTGTTCAGTCTGCTCTTGTATTTTGCAGCTGACACAAGTCTTGGAACAGATGATGTTTATGATGACAAAGGGTGCCAGTGTGACGTGTCAGTAGAAGATCTCACCCCCGCTCTTAAAACTGTCATCAGAGCAATCAGGTGAGTAAAAAATACTGAGTTAATAAATATTTGAGATTCCTTTGGTTATGATACTAATAAACTGCATGTCAGTTCATTAAATGATTGTTAGTTAAACTTATTACGTAGCTAATGCTAATATACTATGCTTCCTTTTTATCAGTATTTCAGTTAAATTAAAATATTGTATAGGTTCTGTTATCAGTTTTTCAATATCTAAAAGTGTTATATGATTTTACACAGAAAAGAAAGAGAGTAATTGATATAATTTCCATTATATTTCCTGAAATCCAAATACAGTTTGATGTAATTTTACTGAATGTGTATCACCTTGCCTGGAAAAGTTATTTCCTTTAAAAGTGTAGGGCTGTATTTCATTTCCATATTCCTGAAACTGTCATAAGACTTCTATTGCAAATTTCTTCTGGTAAGAGCAGAATAATTACATTCATTCAGTTGTGCAAAGCCTTGCCTACCACTATCTACTGAACTAAATATAACCCAAATAATTTAAAACTGATAGTCTCCTTATTTTCCAAGAAAGCAGCAAACTACATTGGAACTTATAAAATTACCCGTATTGAAAGTTTAAATTTAGCATTCACACTCTTGAGAATGCCAAGGCTCTACACGTTCCAGAATATTTTGAAGTGCAAATTCTGACAGGTAAAATCACCACCATAAAATGTACAACAAAAAGCAAGGAGAGTTTAAGCAGGTTATTCCTGGGAGTGACCCCAGTCACTCCATCACAGCTACATCAGTGTCCAGCACCCTTCTTGCAGGCAGGCAGGCAGGCAGGCAGACAGGCAGCAGCCAAAAGGAATTTCTGCAAAAACCTACAAAAAGATTATGTTTTCCTGCAGGGCAACTCTTGCCTGAGTCTTCTCAGCACCATAGCAAAAAAACCCTCAAGGTTTTTATCAGTAAATTTCATACAGTGATAGCCTATGGGCTACTTGTATTTCCTTCCCCTTTTTCCGCTGATTAAAATGAAGACAGACACTGAGTAAGGCTGTTTCTAAAACTTTTCTACTAGCACAGAGAGCTTGACAGATAAATTGCAGACATCTTTTCCAACAATTTTTCCAACCTTCCTGGAAATGACCTCACAGAACGTGTCAGATACCAGGCCCGTGCCCACAGCCACTGCAACTGGCAACTCAAATGTCACTGATGAGAACCGTCTCTTGCCAGAAATGTTTCAGCAGGTGACAGAAATCCTTCTACACAGTGGACACCCACCTACAAGGCAAGCCTATTCCCTCAAATGGAAAATGCTCAAATTAGGAACAATCAGCATAGTCCGTTGACTTTAGTGCCAAAGATTCTTGTCTGTGATGCTGCATTTTAAACAGACTGGTTGACTCTTGGCTCTTGCACCTTGATAATTATACAGGCAAGCAATATCACTGATCATCTCATTCTTAATATGATCCAAATTCCTTGAAGCTTGTTTTCTAAGGTGCCACTGAATTGTTCAATCTGCATTTTTGCTTGTTTCTCTTGGTCATTATCAGTTCAAATGGAAAGTAACCAAACATGAAGTACATAGCTGGCAAATTTTCTCCACAGTGCCATTCACAGAATTGTTCTAATAAGAAGAGCAAAGATGCAAGAATTTGATTGTTTCATTCATGCACCACTTAACTAATGAGAATTAATTTTTTAGATTATCTCCAACTGTTCTCTGCATGGTTGGCTTACCAGAAAAGCAACTAATTTCAACACTGAGGCTGAGAATAAGAATCTCCACTCGATATCAATTAGCCATGATTCTCTCCCACCTCCTTCCAAATGTTAGCATTTCACTAGATTACAAGCGGCACATGCATCTTGCTTCAGAAACATACCTTTTTTTGACATGTGTAAAGCAGTAACATGCCATGATCTTCAGACTTCTGTTAAATGCTACACTTTAATCTCTCAAAATTAAGAGACTGATAATTCAGTTCATCAGGTATCTGATACACCTCTTTCTGATTATTCAGAGTATCTGTTACCTGGGATCTATGCAACATCTGAAGAAGGATCTGAGACTCTGTATAGTAACTGTAGAATTTCAAGATGATAACATCTGCCTATATGGAAACTTTGTGCCTCATTTTGAAGTTTGTTTTTAGAAACGGCTTTAAATTGCAAAGGCAGTGGGGGAGGGTGAAGGCTGTTTTTCCCTTTATGCTGGTGTACAGAAGCAGGTGAAGACAAGAAGGCACTTGCATAGCTTCATGAAACACTTTGAAAAGACCCCATATATAAACACAGAAAATTGAATCCATTCTTGATACATCAACTTGAAAAATTGTAATAAAGGAAAATGATTATTTTTCACTGCTTAGAGATGGGTATAAATTGTTTTACAATTACACAAATGGCCCTTTTGTTTTGCGGAGGAAATTAAATTAGCCAAATTAATTCATGCCTGTGGGTTTACAGAGGTAGGTCCTCTCTCAGTTTTGGAATCAAATGATTTGAGCTTGGGTTTTTTTCTGTGAAAGGAGCCTAAAATATACTGCTTACTCTCAGGTGGGACAGCCTCAAAATAGCAAAAGACAAAAACTGGTTTATTTATAGTCTTTAATTTTAATAATTTCAAAGCGTACTGCTTCAGTTTTGACCCTGTTTACTTACATTTTCTCCAGGACTACTTTATTGTTCAAAACAACTTCTTGATTTTAAATAAACAAATGCCCAAACTTTCATTTTGAAATGGTCAAAACAGAGAAAATAATCCTTCCTTGACAAAGTTATTACCATTTTGGTCCTTTCCAAAAAAGATAGGACTCTTAACCAGTCCTACTAAGACCCTTAAGGCAGACCTGTCTGGTAACATGTTAAGCTGTCAACCTGCTCTCAAAGCCCCCTAAGGTGAGTCTTTCATCTCCTGTGCTGCCTCCTCCATCCCCCTTAATACAAGCTCTCTGTGAGGCAATATCAACTGAAGGAGTAGGGAAAGTAAGGAAAAGCTGCTCAATGCATTTTAAGTGTTGGGTAAGTAGGGAACAAATGGGTAGTGTGGTGAAAGATTATGTGCTCCACAGCATGCCTTGAGCCAGAGCAGGACCAGTCCTACTCCTCAGCAGCCTCTGGCTGGGATCACAGCAGTGCACAAAGCAGTTTCTGCTAGTAGGACACTGAGCCTTTGTGCCAACAGGTTTTGTAGCACTATTCAACTGTTCCCAGTCTTGTCGTGAACAAAAAGCCACTAATATCCTGCAGAGTTCCAGGAGCTTAACAAAACCCATTAAATTTCCCAACTCTGTTAGTTCAGAATGATGAACGTGTATAAAAGAGACTAAAAGGAAGATGAGGATACCTTGTTTCCATATATTGTGATATCTCTGATCATTTTCCATAGCAAGAGGCACGCAATTCTGTAATACACTCCACAATGGAAATCATGGAATTACTTCACTATTTACGGAATATAAAATAAGATTTGAGAAGCATAAATAAATATGCAGCAGAAATAACTGCAATGGCAGGAAGATGAACGTATTGACGTAATAGGTTTTTTCTCTCTTTAGTGATTGCAAAGATATGTTTTCATTTGTTGTTAATAAAAAAAATAATAAATGTGGCTAAACATAATGAAACTTGAGAGTTCTTGAGCTGATAAGATGTATAGTTGAATAGTCATACATATTTAATAGACAAAGATGAAAAACATAATTTACCATTTATGTTCAGTCATTGCAATGTTTCTCAAACACCTATAAAATGTATTTTTAGCAGCCACTATGAATTTGTTCAGTGTGATGTTTCAGAATCCCGTTTTTCTTTTAAAACCAAACACAAGATATACAAATGTATATTTTCTGCCCAGATTCTCTTCAGAGCCTAGGAAAGACTCTTAGATATGTCTTTGGCTAGGACAGCACCGTACTTGGGAAAAAACAATATCTTTGCCTCTAGGGAATGGATTAGCCAGGTCAAGACCTGAGAGAGGAGGTAATTTTTACTCATTCACCCCACAAGTAGTAGAACTGTCTCTCAAGCATGTTTGTCTGTTGGCATCTCTATACTGGATCCTGATCTCTTCTGCACATTGCAGTTTTACCATGACAAAGGGTTATTTGGCAAGGTAAGGATAGAGAGACAGAGGAACCACCCCAGCTAGATCTCTTTGCACCTGCTTTCCTGATGGAGTAGGTGAGCAAACAACCTCATGTGGTCACCTCACCTGGCTATGGGTAAAACAACCTACCTGTCTTTTAATATTCAAGGCAGTAACTAGGTATGATTCTACCTGAATCCCAGTAGAATGAAACTCTGTTTCTTCCTGAGACAGTGACAAGACTGACAAGACACACGTTTAAAACTAATAACATGAGTATGAAAGGGCTGCACAGAGGATTAGGAATGTTCTAACTTGGTGCCTGTCTCAGCAAAGTTCACTAAATGACAGACAGAATAGCTTTTAATAATGGAAGGGTCAACATGAATGGAAACAAAAATGCAGTGAATGCCATAGAAGGTATGCAACCTGCATTTACAGAAAACACTGTAACTTTAGAGCAGTGCTGATCCTGCATTTGAGAACCGAGAAATGAAATGGGAGCTGCTTTTTGCTGCTGGAGTCAATAAGACAACATTTGGTATTGGACCTGTAACTTTCCACAAATTATCAGGGTACAAGATAAGATTAGTGAGACCTGTGGTTTAGACACTAATTCTAGACAAAGCACTTTTACGTATTGGTCTGCCTTTTTTTCTTCTTTCCTCTGGATACATCACTGAAACAAGCTACTTTTTTTGGCTAATTCTTACCAGAAAATTGTCGTCCTTGTGATTTGGGTGGGTTTACAAACATGTATTGTCTATCACATTAGATTTGAGTTACAAAACATCACCGCACTACATGTCATACAGCGATTTAAACATGCAAACGATGTTTTAAAAAGTCATGCGGACTACGGGGCTTTGTTGTTCGGGGTTGATTCCTACTTTCAGTCACAGCTGCCAGATCAGTGCCAGCAGTTCCGTGCAGTCAGTGGCGGCTCCGCTCGGTATATGACGGGTCTTGTTTGCCCCCTGGTGGCACCGCCGGAAATGACAACCCGGGCTCGTTTGCCCTGTCCCTCCTGTCCTAAGGGCTGCTGCTCCAAATAATTTGAGTATGCATAACTTTGTGCTCATTTTCTCCTCTTTGTAGGGGTAGGTTACCCGCCTGTGCCTGCTAAACTGAGCCCTTCGTTTTTATCCCACAGGAACATACACTCTACAAAATTATAATAATCTATCGAGATGGGTGTTCAAGCATATAGAACCATAGAATCATAGAATGGCTTGAGTTAGTTGGAAGGGATCTTCAAGACCATCTAGTTCCAACGCCCCTGCCAAGGGCAGGGACACATCCTGCTAGACCAAGTTGCTCAAAGCCCCATCCAGCCTGGCCTTGAACACTTCCAGGGATAGAGCATCCATAGCTTCTCTGGGCAACCTGTTCTAGTGCTTCACCATCCCCACAGTAAAGATTACAATTACAGCCAATCACATAGTTATTTCAAGATATAGGAAGCCAACTGAGTTTTAAAAACTGACAGTAAATAACTATGGAAATTCATCCAAATTTAATAACTGCAAAGCAGTTGCTAGGCTCCATCACTGAAAGAATCCAGGGTTTTTTTCTTAATTAACTTGCAGGGGTTTAAAATGCCAGTCTTTTATAACACTTCAGGGTTTTTTTGCACAGTTTATGTAAAGTTTTGTATATTTGAAGAAAAAGAAGTAAGCAATATAGGTTTGTTCCAAACACTGCTTAAGTTAATTAAGATGGAATCACATGAGCTAATACCTAAACCAGAAATAGTATAGTTACACCTCACTGATATAGCTGTGATGCTTTCAATTCTGTGTTTGAATACTGAATATTATGAACAAACTGCCTTGATTAGCAAAAACAAAGTGTTACAAAGCTGCAAAGCAGTAATGAAGACTTCTGTGCACGCAGATTAAAAAGTTTCCATAGCTGTTAATAAAAATTAGTCTTCTGGCTCTTCTCTTGTAAAATCACCCAGTTGTGGTAAATTCAGTTTTGTTCAATTATGGCTCTGCTTTTCTAATAGGGTTTCACAGTTTTACTGTATCAAGAGCATGAGGGAAAAAATTGTGGCCACAAAAACATAATAACAACAACAAAATTATGATACAGTCTTGTATGTCAGCTACATCATTTATTCTTTGTAACCTAAATAAAGAACTAGATTCCAGAAGATTGGGTTGTCAGGGTCTTATGAACTGAACATCTTGGCATCATTTGACAGCTAAAAGAAAATAAAATTGGCATCCCAGGTTCATCCCAGCTTCAGAGGCCTTCAGACTACAAAAGATGCCAAAGGCCATTGGTCTGTTGAACCAGCTGGCAATGCAAAAAGAGGAAAGTGCATCACCTGATATATTTAAAACCGCATGGAGATCAGTCCTGAACTGTCAAGGTGATGAACTACTCCTAAAAGGCCTTTTCCATTTTTAATTTCTATTATCAGAATCGTAGTTCAAGCTCTATACAAGTGACAAACAATTTCAATTTTTAACTGAAAGTTACCAGAATGGGAAATATCAACAGTCTAAGCACTGTGAGAAAAGGCTGACATTATTTGAAAGAATATTTATGTATGATTAAAAATCAGTAGAGGATCACTCTATACTATCAAACTCTACATACCTATTATCATAATGTCTCTCCTAACTACATGAAGTATGTTTTTTTCTAAAAACTAAAACATTACTAATCTATTTTTATCAGAGAGTGAGAGCCATGTTTTGATTTTTATTACAATTTGTTGTCTTACATCTGCCAAATACATTTTATAATTAGCACAAAGGGAATATATTAGCATGAACTATTGGCATTTGAAATAGGATACCAATTTACTGTCTCTGCTTTTTTAATTGCAATAGATAGCAAATATCAGCAGTTTGGCTCTAATGGGAATTCATAAGCTCTGTAGCACAGACCAGAATAGCTAACACACCTGATGCCTTGGCTTCTCTCCTAGTTCTTGCATAGAACTCCTCTCTTCTCCAGTTCTTATGTAAACCAAGGAAAATTTCAGGTTTTACCAGCTAACCTGGAAAATAATCTCGCTGACATTTACTTTCCGAATTTGTCATTTCTATTATTTAAAATTTACAATTTAATATCAAACTTTTCATTCTAAGAAGAGCTACTCAGTGGACATCACATGCTCACATATCACAAATCACATAAACTTGTGAAATTCTCACATTAAAAAAAATGCCATTCATCAATTTTGGATATTTACTGTTATCTGAAACTTAGTATTCTGCAGTAAAATTCATGAAAAAATCATAAATGCTAATGAAGCAACAATTTCAATATATTGCAGTAGGGAACAAATGTAAAAACTTCTGCAAAATTTGATCTTAAATCAGACAAATAAATTAAAAACAAATTCTTAGGCCTGAATGTCAGTTAAAAAATAAAAACTGATGAAGAATGAAATGGGTGCATAAATTTTTTTTTTTTTTACCAAAGTAGAGAGCAAGAACTTAAAATGAATAAGAGAATACTATTAGCTATGCTTGTGTAATCCACTCATTAGAGAACTCTTTTCTTTATAGAGAAAAGATTTTCTCTTTAAAGAAAAGAAGTAGCGTAAGCACAAATGTAGCTTACAGGATATCCCGCTCTAGTCAGTGGAACTAATCCCAGTTTTAAGTTAGGCATATAGTTCAGTATATTTCATATTAGCCACCTAACATATAAAAACCAAACAGGTATATACTGATATATTAAACATGCTCTGCAGTTGTTAAAATAGTATTACTTGAACTTTCTTAAACAGCAATTCAAAGGGATAGCTACAGCACATTTGTACAAGTGCATTTGTACTTGCACATTTTTACTTACAAAAACAATTGTGTAAAAGCTGTATTAAAATACCTTCCATTTAAAAAATAGCTATCAAATTTTGTCAGTGAAATATATCATATTGTTTCACAACTGTTGAAAATTAATCTGTGAAATGCTTTTTACCCACAGAATTATGAAATTTCATGTCGCAAAGAGAAAGTTTAAGGAAACACTTCGCCCATATGATGTCAAAGATGTCATTGAACAGTATTCAGCAGGTCATCTAGACATGTTATGCAGGATTAAGAGTCTTCAGTCACGGTAAGGAAAGAATTAGTCCTATGCATAAGCATCTAATGTCATTCACTGCACACTGTATATTGGCAAAGTTCAACATTTCTGTGTTACACAGCCTCTCTTTCCGTGAACACAGCTGAGCCAGAAATGTAATTGTGGGCAAAACCAGACCAAAAAACTTGTATCTAAACTGTCCTCAGAAAATGGAAGTCTGAACAATAGAAAAGGTAATCCTTTATCTGTAAAGCGCATTTGCAAACAAGGAATTTAGTCAGGAGGCTGCCAAAAGGATGAGGAAGATATATGCTTTTCTCCCACTCGAGGTCTTCTCTTTTCACATAAAAGAAATTGGGAACTACTGGTAATGTAGTATTTATGTAGGTTTTGTGCTATAGATTCCTGGTAATAGTAATTAAGAAAAAAAAAAACCCACAACATTTTATCATATTTACCATTATCAGTATCGGGGTTGAGATTCCTGCTTCAAACTCATAATTCCTCCAGGACTGGAGGCTGTTGTTAGGATGGGAAAGCTGAGGGTGGCACTGGTATGTCTGTTCCTCCACAACATCAGGCTGCTGGAGAGGCCACCTCTTCCCTCCCCCTTTCAGCAAGTCTAGCCTTGGCTCTCCCAGATGATGGCTAAGTTCTGGCCCCTGTTTAGTGCCAACAAAAAAGAAAAGCAGCCTCAAATGCTCAAAATTCATTCCTTTTGGGGTTTTTTCCTTTAATTAATAAAATTATGTTTGTCTTCTTTTTCAAACTCTTTTTTGAAGTACTGTGATTTTCATTTTTAATGTATGGATATAGCAAACACTTCCATATCATCACTGGTTTCAGGAATTGCAGCAGCTTTTGATTTCTCTTACAGTGTTGACCAAATTCTTGGGAAAGGACAAATCACAGCAGATAAAAGAACCAGAGAAAAGAATCCTGCAGAGAATGAGACAACTGATGACCTCAGTATGTTAGGGCGGGTAGTCAAAGTGGAGAAACAGGTAGAGTGATTATCTGTGTTGCTTGGTCTTGCTTTATTGCTCATGCCTATTCGGTACTTCATTGCCAGTTTCAAAAGCTGAACAGGTAAAATATTTGTTCTTAATATCTGCTTCATTTATATGTTGAAGTAAAGTTTATATGGACCGTATTACCTTAACCTTTTTGTCCCTTTTATAACCTTGCTTGTGAAAAATGTACATGGCTTTTGACGTTCTTTTTCAAGGGTCAGTAACATACACCAAGACCTCTTCATTTTTCTCTTCAGCAGTCACATTATCTCTTTGCTTGGGTTCCAAACATTTTAAATTAGTATTTGCTACTAATGTCAACCTTTTCCTCTCTTTCTATAGGTACAATCCATTGAGTCAAAATTGGACTGTCTATTAGATATTTATCAACAAGTTTTGCGAAAAGGATCTGCATCTGCGCTCACTTTGGCTTCATTTCAAATGCCAGCTTTTGAATGTGAGCAGACTTCTGATTATCAGAGTCCATCAGACAGCAAAGATTTATCTAATTCTGCACAAATTAGTGGATGTGTATCCAGATCAGCTAGTGCCAATCTGCCTCGTGGCCTACAGCTTATACTGACACCAAATGAATTTAGCACTCAGGCTTACTATGCTTTCAGTCCAGCTATGCATAGTCAAGCAACACAAGTGCCAAATGATGGACCTGCAACAGTTAATAATACATCAAACCAAATAAACCAGGCAACCAAGCCAGCAACTCCGACAACATTACAAATACCACCTTTCTCATCAATGAAGCATATCAATAAGCCTGAGCCTGTTCATATTATTCCTGTAACCACACAGGAAAATATTTCCAATGTCACCGCCTGCCTTGTTGCATCAAAGGATAATGGACAAGTTGCACAGCCCAGTGCAACAAAGGATCTCACGTGGAGAAAAAGTCTGGATACAGAGGGGGAACCTTTGCTCTCAGTTAAACCTGTGGTGCAAATGGACTTAGGAAAATCTTTATCTGTACAAAATCTTATACAGTCTACAGAAGAACTGAATATACAGATTGCTGGCAGTGACTCCAGTGGTTCCAGAGGTAGCCAAGACGTATACTCCAAATGGAGGGAGTCAAAATTATTTATAACTGATGAAGAGTTGGAGACAGAGGCAGGAACAGAGACTACTGAAGCCATCTCACGCCCATTAGTGGAAACAACTCTCTCTGCTGACTCTCTAAGGACTGGAATATCAAGGTCATCTCAAAGCATCTGCAAGCCAGGGGATGGTACAGAAGCACTCAATCTGCTCCATGTCAAACTTAAATAACAGCTTGCTGGCTTTCTTCATTGGCTGGTTCATTCCTCTAGTCATACATATCATAGCATGAACTGTTTTGAAAGCCTTTTTAATAAGATAAAATCACAAAAATCAGGATGAATCTGCAAAGCAGTTGAATGAGCCCATATTTCCTAGCTGCATGAAAATGCATGTTTAAGTGATGGCTAGCGTCCAAATTTACACCTACAGTATGGCAGCCTTTGATGAAGTACGGTAGGTTTAAATAATGAGTTGCCTACAAAGCTAATGCTGCAGGATGTATCAAAAAGAAAAAAAAAAATCAAAAATCTGAGCATTTAGACATAGTGCCGTCGCTACAGGGCAGAAGTAAAAATTGTAAGGTTTAAAGCACTTTGCTTCTGAACTAATTAAATATATATATATAATGTCCTGATTTAGATGATAGTTTATGTTTACAACAAAAAAATTATCTACAGCTGCTAGCAAGGTACCAAGGAAATCAGTAATATGGCTAGAAATGCGGGGTTAGAAATGGCTGCCAGTTGCAAGATACACATATTTGCTCATCATTAATCAGTTATTTTTAGCTCTGAAAAACAATAGCTTAACATTCATCCAATTTTTGGTGATTTAGTGCTGTGGCAGAAGCACCTGACACACCACTATCACATTGTTCTTCATAAAAAGAAAACTATTTTGCTACAAAAAGTTTGTATTTTAAGGATTGGGGCTGGCCTCAGAAGGGGATAATGCAGGTGGCTACACTGAGAATTCAGGGGAATCGCTCCTCCCAGTCTCATTGAGAAGCTGTCTTGTGAATCTGAACCATTTTGGCAGCAGTAGGTGAGGGAAGGAAGCAGGTGCTGCCTTCATGTTAGAAGCAATATTTCCTTCTGTGGAAATTTGGCAATTTTCCTTGCAGTCCCAATCTGATACTATGACAGCACTTCATAAGGCTGAGAAAGGAAGGAAAACAAGGAACTGAAATACAAAGTAAAACTAAAGAGGACAGAACAGAGGAGAGAGAAAGACAACACAATCAATGTGGAAATAAATAATGACACAGATTTAGATAGGCAGGAAGGGAAATTATCCCATAAAACAAGGAAGGTAAAGAGGGGAAAAGTTACTTTTTTTTTCCTCCACAGATAATGAGTGCTATTTTGAAAAAAAAGCCACATAGGCAATCAGAAATTAAAATAGAAGTAGATAAGATCGCCTTAACTGAAAAAAAAAAAAAATTAAGGCAAGGGTTTGTTGCTTTTTTAATAAAAGGTGATGAGGAGAGAGAGGGAAAGTGGTAACACTCTTAGTCTTAACACTGTGTCCCAATGGCAGTCATTTTTTTGTGAACTTTCCAAGACAGAGCTTTCAGACTCCTTCCTCTGAATACCCAAGTTTTCAGATTCAAAGCCTACATCAAACTGAGCATTCCTGCCTGATACATCCTCTTTTTTTTTTTTACCCTAACCTACACTTCACTTCTGCTGAGATGCAGGAGCAGTGTTAGTGCCTCTCTGCACATCCCCAACAATGCTTTCCTATTGGGAGAACCGTTGTGCAGCCTAAGCAGCCTTTCCCAGCTGAATGAAGTTTCTGTGTGTTACCTCCTCTCAGATTTACACCCCACCTGCACCACAGGCTTGTAGACAACCCAGTTTGGGCTCAGCTTCCCTCTAGCACCAGGAATACCGAATGTATGGGGGTGCCAGTGCCAGCTCTCTCAGGGCAGTGTGTTCTCAAGGCCCAGACCCACTGGGAACTTACTATGTACATCAAAAACATCACTCCAGTCTTAACCATGGCTAAATGCTATAGATTGTATTGTGAAGGACCTGATCTGTTTACTATGAATCCATTGTAACTTCTGCTTCCATATTTCCTTTAAAGAAGTATTCCTGGATGTTACATGACAATTTTATTATGTGAAAGTACATGCAAACTGTAGAGTGTATATATTGTGTCATTATATGGGGTCCACGGACGGTACACTGTGTTCCATGGCTTACACCGGAGCAAACTTCAGTTGTTAAATCCTGAAAGACACCTTGAAGCACAATTTCCTCACTGCTGATTTGCCATATAATTTACCACGTTCAGCCTTTCCTGTTTTCTTTACTTGCAATCTGATCATACTAAAGCCTGATTACAACAGTAATTTTGCGAGGATAAATACATTTTTTTTCACATCTCAGTTCACTTAACTATTAACTTATTTGAATGTCTGCAGTTTATCCGGACAGATCTGTAAGTTTAAACTATCGAAAATTTAAAAACTTACAATCTTTTTTTAATTTTCTTTTCCTTTTTCTTAACTCTTTATGGTGCCTTTCTTGCCTTTCACATGAAGCCTCCTGCTGACCTAAGCATAAATATGCAGTTAGGGTTCAGTTAAGGAGAAAGAGATCGGGCACATGGCAATTGTGTGCCTGTAATGAAATTCCCTGCCCCTCCTTGAGGAGATTGAAAAATCAAGGCATCATGAATTGAACACCACTTTTCCACCTCCATCTATGTAAGCAGATGATTGCACCACATTGCATCAATGGGATAACTGAGCATTGCCCCTGCCTGTACCAATTCCACACAGAAACAGGGCCTTGGGTTTTGCTGATAATTTATCTCACAGAAACTTGGTATTTTTGCCTTAAATGACATGCCTGAGTCCTTCTAATTTTAAGTTAATTTATTTAATACAACTTTGTGCACAAAAGAGTAAGTTCTATAAATGATGTATGAAAATGTTAATATCTTTACAAAGTACTAATAAATCTAGAAGATCATATCTTTTCAAATTATAGTTTAAAATCCTAATTTGTTTTCTTTTATGCTCATCATTATTATTTTTGCAGCTGTAAGTCTTATCATATAGGGTTTTTTAACATAATATTGATAGGAAATAGAAAGAATAGTGAATATATGAAATTTTAAAGAGGAAGAATTGTTTGTTTGGATTTTTTATAAGTTTTCCTTATATTTCCTCATGAGGAGTTTCCTGTTTCTATGCTCTCTCTTTGAAAGACAGTGTCAAGACTGACAATCATTCATTAGTTTCACAAAAGAAGGGCCTGTCTGGCTTTTCAAGTCTTGTTCTGAGCTGCTTTATAAAATCCAGCTCATGACAGCTAATAAGAAGTGTTCATGAGTCGGGACAAAAGACAATTTTTTTTCTGATTTACAATCCACTTGAGGATTGTTGGACGAGAGAATTCGAACTTAAGTAAAAGCTTCAGGAATTAAGCATTATCCAAATAACTGTTTTCTGATCAGCATGTTCTTCTACCTGAATGGAGAACTGAATAGTTTTGATGACTATTATTTGTTTAAGAATTTGTATTTGCTCCTGGCTTATATTATCTATACTTTTTATTTAAATATGAATATGATGTTTTAGCCTAGGGTTCGAGATTGCAAAGATCATACACTTTTATTCACAGTGCCCACAGTTGTTCCATGTTTTTGAGATAATCCTATTAGAGTGACTGCTCTCATTATAGTATGGTGATGAGTAATTCACCTGCTTTTGTGATAAGTCAAATCATGCTGAATGGCTGATGTATAGTAGACCATCTGATGTACTGTAGTATTTCTGGATTGGGACCTGCAATCCTTACTCAAGCAAAAATTCTATGGAATTCATTCATTTTATGAAATTCAAGAATTTTTCTTGAAATGGGAACTCAGATTCAAATCCTGATTTTGTTGGGCATCTGTTTAAAGTGAAAATGGTAATATTCCAGTTATTTCCTGAGGAAACTAATACTTAGCTGAATTTACCCATGTCACATTGACTATATAAAAAATAACGCACAAAGTACTGATGTAAAAAGGGAAGAAGTGAAGGGACAATTTTAAAAAGCACAGAGAATAATCAGAAAATTGGAGCAAGCAGGAAAATATAACAGCAAAGGAATGAAAAAAGGGTTTAAACACCTGAGGCTAAATTCATCCTTGGATGGCTTCACTGACTTCAATGCATTCACTGCCCAACTGAGTGAAGCTCTGCCTCCGTTGGGATAACCAGGTTCAGTTCCACTGACCTCAAAGGAACTGAACCCACATATACCAGAAATGAACTTGCCTCTCTGGGCCAACTTTTATCCTGACTCATATGTCATGCAATCCTTTTGGATTCACTAGGTTTGAATGAAATACAGGTCAGAAAAGAATTTGTCCCAGATATTTCTGCTTCACATTTTTTTCCAAGTGTGTTAATTGACTTAATTCAAGTGGATTACAACATTACACGACGTCCTGTCACTGTCTAAAAAGGTTAATTAGTTTTTGAAATAAGACTTGTCCCCTGCAATGTCAGTGGAATCATGCAATATTTTCCTGTCCGTTCATCTGGATGCAAATGTGGCCATTCATTCAGTTGTGGCCACACACAGGACAATTCCAGACATACCCAATATCATCTGCTATTGGAAGAATTTTTGACTTCTTTGAAAGCCAAAAGACAGTTTTGTAGCAGGCTTAGAAAGCACGATGGCTGCTTCCACTGACACTGCAACATTAGCCAGTACATTACAATGTTAATTGTAAATTCTTGACAAAGTTGAATCCATATTGTTGTTAATAAAAATGATTTGAAAAGTACCATGCTTACTCATTTTATTCCTAACATAAAAGATTGTTTGGTGTGACCACATATCAAGCAAGAAAAAAAAATTAAACTTGGTCATTGTTTTCCTTTTGAAGTTTTGTAATTTTTTATTAAATGAACATCACGAAGGAAGTTCATTAGAATAAAATGCACAGGAACCAGTCTGACATGTTCAGTTTCTGATAACTGTTTACAGCAAAGTTTACTTAATGTTGCAGCACCTCAATGAAAATGAGTGTAGAAGTTATTATTGCCTTCCCTGTTAGATAAATGGCAATTGATTCAGGATTAGCAATCAGGGACCTGTGCAGGGAGCAGGATTCCTCATGGATTCCTTCAGTTTAACCTGAGGCCTAGGTGAAGCCCTTTCTTCTGCATTCAGCCATGAAAGTTGCTCTAGAATGTTACTGCACCAAATCTAAAACAATCCTTCACGACACACCTTCTTTCCCCAGTGTGCTCTTCCCACAGCCCTGCTGAAGACAACCTTCATTAATTGAGTATAAAATACTAAATATAGAGAGTCTGTGCTGTAGTGAAGTTACTGCCTCTACGGAAGCTTCAAAATCAGAGCCAGACATCTCCAAGTACAGGTGATCTCCTGCCTCTCTGCTGAATGGAACCTTAGGTACTGAAATTTAAAGATGCAGTTGCCAGAAAGATTTCCGTGTCAGCCATTTGTACCCACAGGTTATGTGAACACCACCAAGCTCTCCTTCAGAATAAACACAGGTCAGGAAAAAAGGCAAATGTATGCATGCTCTTCTTGTGTTAAATGAGGCAGCCTTGCTTCGTGTGGGCACAGAGATAGTAGGGAAGGGTCAGAAGACTGCAGTGAGAAGTCTTTCCTGTTGGGTTACTCAGCACATTGCCATGCCAGGCACAGGCAGTGATGTGCATCCTTAAAGACACATAGCTAAATGTTCCTGTTCAGCTCCGTACAATAGAAGCACAGGATCCTGCCTAAAAAACAACTGATTAGACATTGGAATAGGCTGCCCAGGGAGGTGGTGGAGTCACCATCCCTGCAGATGTTTAAGGAAAGACCGGACATAGCACTTAGTGTCATAGTCTAGTTAACATGGTGGTGTTCGGTCACAGGTTGGACTCGACGATCACAGACGACTTTTCCAACTTGATTGATCCCGGGATTTTGTGACTCCGTGAAAAATTTGAGGGACGGCCATAGACCCGCCCACCCGCGCGGAGCCAGCCAATCACAGCTTAGCGGCCCGACCCGGCCAATCAGCGCGCCCCGGGGCTGAGGCGCGCCAAATTCCGCCGCGTGAGCGGCGTAGGGTGGGGGGCGGTCGCCATGTCCGACTGGGACTCGGGCCCCGAGGAAGAGCGGGCTGTGCCCCGCCCCCCGGGCCGCCGCTGCCGCCGGCCCACAGTGCCGCCCGCCGGGCACCCCTCCGCGGGGCCGCGCCCCCGCCGAGGGCGACGGGGACGGAGGGGCTGCGGGCGGCAGGGGAGGGGCGCGGGCGGCCCCGCAGGGGAGGAGTGGGAGCCGCGAGGTGGTGACGGGTTCCGGCGGCCCGGGGCGGGCGGCGCGGGCAATGGAGGCCCCCAGCTGCCCCGGCCGGGCTC